GTTTTTATACGTATTTATATTTCAATGGTGATGATGAGCTGTTTTAGTTTCTGCTGTGTTAGTATTATTGATTTTAATTTAATATGTTTGCTTATGGATGAAAATTTTGAGGTAATTAGAATTTTAGTTTTATTCAAGTTTATTATATATTCCAAAATCTTTAAAAGTGTTATTCATTACTGTTAGAAGTTGTTATAAATTGTATGTGCTATCGGCTATTGCTAGGATATCATCAGTTGATTTTTGTTTCAAAAAATTTTTTTTTTTACAAACAATCGTTCAAAGTTTTGCTCTTATAATATTAGTTATATTCGGATGTAGATAAGGAAATAAAGGATCTAGCAGGATAAGATAGGATCAGCGGCCACATAAAATCTTTCAACTTTCTTTTTTAACGTGAAAAATAACTTTTTAATACAGTAATAAAAAAGTTTAATCAAAAGGCAAATATGAATTGATGAATGAATTCATTAGTACCTAAGACGGTCATAAGAAGTTTTAATTTTTTTGGAAGTATTGCATCCATTTTTTATTGATGCACTTTTTGGTACTAATACTAGATATAGTAACATCACATCATATCAACAGCCTTTAATAATATACTGCTGGACATAGGCCTCTCCTTAGAAAGGAGATTTTGGGCTACTATACCACGCTAACCAGACGGGTTGGTATAGGGTTTGTGTCAAGTTTTCCTTATCTTTGCAGTGCAGTTGTCCTGCGTAGTTTGCTCCCTTTGTCGGCCGGTATTGACGCCCACGGGATGAATTGGGGTGGTGAGTGGTGACACTCTGTATTCTTAATCCGTCACCACATGGATATAGATTAGTGAGCTACAATATATATTTCCTCTGCGTGAATTATGAATAAAATCTGGTATTTTTTTAATAGTAAATACGACAGTTTTTTTTTTAAATATAAAATATAGACTAATATTTTGTCTAAAGACCACTTTTTGTTTATTAGTGCAGCTGTAATAGTTTTCGAAAAAAATACCCGCTCTAGCGTCTTTTTGATCAATTATCTCCAGAACGCAGTGAGATGAGAGGCTTAGTTTCTGTTAATTGCAGTTTTATACTTCGCCGATGTTGCCTACTGAGTTATTTAAAAAAAAAAAACTGGGGCCGCTGACCCTACCTTATCCTGCTAGACCCTTTATACCGGCCGCTCAAAGAGTCGAAACAAACTTCCGTCTGAAATTGAAATTCCTTAGCGGAGGTTTCAGATAGGGGTCGACTAAATCTAGTCCATTTAAAAAAAACACAGGTTTACGCGTTCACCGCAAAGAAGATACCGTTTGTCGTATCATCTTGGTTTGAGAGCATCCCCCTAACTGCCTCAGCCAGTATCGGGATCTCTAGGCATCGACATATCGAGTGAAACCCAGTTTCGGTTTCATTTAGAGGGTAAGGTCAAATTAGCTTCAAAGAAGCTCAGTGTGCTAAACTGATCAGGGCAGTATTTCACTCCAGCCCACCGCATCTAACTCTATAAGGGCAAGTCCGGCCGTATATGGAATACTGTTCTCATCTCTATGCATGGACACCCCAGTACCAACTTCTCCCTCTGGACCGCATCCAACGGAGATCGACTTGAATCATCGATAGCCCAAAGATCACCGAACGGCTCTCGATCCCTTGTTGGGCCTAATGAAAAGATGTAGCTTCACTTTGCATTCTCGATCATATATATCATGGAGAGTGGTCCGAGGATTTGTTCGGATTGTGCCGGTGACTGCACGGATAACGCAGTGGTTTAAGCGGATGCCACGTCGCTCACTACTGCTCTGAGTGTTGTGGGTTCGATCCCCACATAGGACGACAGTTTGTGTGATCCACAAATTGTTGTTCTGAGTCTGGGTGTTCTTTGTGTCCGTTTCATGTATGTTTGTAAAGTCCCCCGCGACACACTATATATTCCTAATGCGGGAGTTGTCTTTCTAAATAAAATAAAAAAAAACCGGGCGCAACTTTTCGCCAACGTTCCACACGGCAAAATTGGTCAACCCATCTCTTGGATAATTGGCACTCCATTATAGTGCGCTTTTCAAGACACTTTTTACCTCACACAAGCAATCAGTGGAACAAATTATTAAGCATCTGCGGTATTGCCGGACGGATACGACCTTCAAACCTTCAAGGAAAGAGCGGACGAGTACTACTACCTAAAAGGTCGGCAACGCGCTTGTGACTCCTGAGTTGCAGGCGTTCATGGGCGGCGGTAGTCACTTTCCATCAGATGACCTGTCTACTCATTTGTCCTCTTTTCTATAAAAAAGGCAAATATCGATAAGAACAGGTAGGAGATTTACAAACGTTATTATGATACCCATTTGAAAAAAAAAGTATTAAATAGTATAGCTAGTATCTTCATTAACTTCATTAGTGGCCCCGTGACATAAGTTTATGATTACATTTGTGGATAATCATTTCATTATTTCAAATCTGGGTCGGGTAAATTTTTATTCGGTTTTTGTATTAATTGTATGGCAGCAAGCTATCTATATATCTCTCGCTCCCTCTGTAGAGTTTTGACTTTGGCTTTGACTTTAAGTAGGGTCAGTAGAGCTTCATAGGAAGAGTATATAACTAATAATGAAGGTATTATTATACCTTCAGACGCCTCACACATGCTGACCCACGCTAGGAAGACTAAATTAAGAGTAATTTCATATATCCGTTTTATCGTCTATACACCAGTAAATATTCACTTAGTGGGAAGTGTTAGATGATGATGTGTTATATAACCTGACATTGGATTTTATCTTACTTTGCAACTTGTTCGATGATGCGACGTTGCGTAGTCCAGCATAGAATAAAGGGTAGATCCTTACATGATATAAACAAAGGATTGGTAATTGCTTGTAATAAATCACTGAAATCCAGTTGTTAGTCATAGCGGCATCGAATCTAAGTTGTAGATGCAGCAGTGGATGAAAAATAATGTTTTTTTGTTTTTCTTGAAAAAACGGAATGAAATCTAAATCTACATTTCACATTTTCTACACCAGTTTACTAGAAGAATGACACTGCACTCCACTGAAAGTAATGTCTATTTAGCAGCGATTAGACATCACTTCTACTGGTCAAGAAGATCGCCTCTGCAGGGTGAAGTTACTGGAATAATGGGGCAGTACCAATTCTCTAGAAATAGTTGCGTAGTATTAGAAGGTTTGGACTTGCCTAATAGCCTTTTACAGTTAATAAACAGGATGTAAGGGACATTGTAACGAATACTGAAATAGTGTATTCGGACCATCATTCTAAGTCGAAAATCATTGGTATTTTCTGCCAGAAAATTAGTCTTATATATAACTGTCACCTAGGAACAACAGTATTGTTATGCCTAGTGACCATAGATAATGAAAAAGTAGTATTACCAATTTCTTTCAATTGATTAAATAATTCACTAAAATAATAGATTAATAAAATTACAATTATAACAAAATACATTGTAAGAAATAATAACACATAGAAGATATACACATAGACTATAAACTACTATAAAGCAGTGTTATATAATATATTTAATTTTGATAACAATTTGTTATTAACTTCCAACTAACATTTGAGACGTCTATTAGCTGCACCTTTAAAACTGTACTGTAATAGATATGAATAAATTACAGTACAGTTTTTTTCGTATAACAGTAGTTTAAAAAATATCAGTAATTTCAATATTTTTTAATTTATTTGGGATAAATTAACGCATTGTAATTTATAATGGATAATATGCGAAAATAACTAAACATACATAGTAGAAGCATTATATTGCTTTTGAATTGAAGAGTAAAACTATTGTATTAGGAACCTATATAAAAACTATTTTGTTCTTTTTATTACGAGTATATACACCAAATTATTAATTATGTCGTAATAACTGTATATACTCCCTATTAAGGGAAGGAGGAGTTTGGGCTCCGTTATCCTCACTCTCCCTCAGCCGTGGGTGTTGAAGAGCCGACTAAGGGAGCAAACTACGCAGGACAACAGCACTGCAAAGAGAAGGAAAACTTGATACAAACCCTATACCAACCCGTCTGGGCAGCGCAAGAATAGCTTAACAACGGTTTTCTGCGAGGCCGTGGTATCACTCCAGTTGAGGCCCCATTTGTGACGAAGCATGGCTCTCCCATGTCTGTTATCGTGTTTCAAGCGTTTTTTATATTTTAATTACAAGCCAAATGTTAAGTAGTACCCAACATTTTAGTGCATGCTGTGGCTTCGTATAATTAAAGGAGTGTACTAATATTAATAATAAATAATAAATAAATATTAAAAGTTTGCCAAAATAGTATTGAAAGAAGTACAAAAGAAAAGACAGAGAGAAATTAAAAGACATAAAAAGTAAAACAAAATTCAAGAATGCATACACAACATACAAACAATTAAAGTGGAGGTGGACAGGACATATGGCGAGAGAGAAGGAAGAAAAATGGACAAGACTGATAACAGAGTGGTATCCAATAGATGGCAAAAGAAACAGAGGGAGACAGACGGAAGAGATGGGAGGATGACTTCAGGAAAATAGCGGGTCCAACATGGATCCGAACAGCAAAGAATAGGACAGAATGGAGATCTTTAGAGGAGGCCTTTGTCGGAAGACAAGTTGAAGAGTGAATAACGTTTGCCTAATGCAATATACTATAACAGTTAATTCATTAATAATAAATTAATTAAGATAGTAAATAGTTACGAGTACGAATAAAGTTAATAAGTTAGTTAGGCACATATAGATATATTTTTGTAATTTAAACTAAAAACATTTATTATTATTATTATATGGCTCTCCCATGTCTGTTATCGTGTTTCAAGCGTTTTTTATATTTTAATTACAAGCCAAATGTTAAGTATTACCCAACATTTTAGTGCATGCTGTGGCTTCGTATAATTAAAGGAGTGCACTAACCAAATGCTTATTATTTGTATAAAGTGATTTTATTGTGTACATCTTTTGTTAAAGGTCCTCAATTATAAATAAAAAAACAAACACTGGTTCAGTTACAATTCCGCATGCGCTGAAGCATCAGCAAGAGAAGACTCTACGAAGACTATTCTATACGTGCGGATATCATTACCACAATCTGACGTGAAAGTGATAGAATATTTTTCTAATTTATCGTGTAGCGGTATAGTAATCGGCAGTGTTAGGTATAAATTAGTATGTTGAGCAAGCGTCACGCGGTCAATCCGTGGCACTAGCGCCTTTGATGTTAGTCGGTACGTCGTGTGACTCCTGAGGACGTGGTTCAACTCCGACATGTTTGTTCCTCCCTCCTCGAATAACATTGCCAATATCAATTTGCCAGTTGTCGTATCTGAAAAATGAATTATTAAACTCTTGCTCACAAAACATTATACCATTGCATTCAAATCAATTCACAATGCACCAGTTAATAAATTCTTTACATGAGAACCAAATTCGTCACATGAGAGTCGAGAGAGAGGTCATCATATAGTCATCATATGCGTCTAAAAAGCCTTGGGTATGTTATTTTGGTACACACGGAACTTATTAACGACAGCTACAAGAAATTTAAAAAATGCTCTTTCGAGCAGGTTCATTTCGATTTATTAGTTATTTAATGGCTCATACTGAAGGTATTTTTTTCTTAAACGGACTTTCTACGGGGTAAGATTTATTACGGGCACGCCGTTATCGCGGTAGTAAGACGCGTTATGAAAGATTGGCTCGAGAATCATCACGGATCATAAGCGCAGGCCTGGGGGTGATAGGTGATGCCATCTGTCACCCTAACAGAAGTAGGCCGCGGTGGGCGGTGCCACGAGACGCTACGGAGCACGCACGTCCTTCAGGGGGTCATCTATAAGTCGTACACGGCCCAAAGTACGTAGGGCCACCAGGGCTTTCCTTTCTATAGTATACCTGGTTCTCCGGCTACTGGTACCTGGAGATGGTGTGCGGTTTTTAGTTGGTTGGTGTCCGACATAACCATCCTACTGAAGGGTGGCATCCGAGGGGAGTTCCGCACAGAAAAAAATGAAAAGGGTAAGATTTGTTAGTGCCAATATGTTCTTACCGATTAATTGATCAAATATGTCCATCATTATTGAAGAGGCATGTTCAATTAACGCATAACGCAATGCTTTGAGCATAAGCTCATTGCGGTGCGGTATTGTGAGGACAGTTGTTCTGTAACACTCACAGGACTCTCCACAGCTGCATGGATCTACTGGCCATGAATGCATTTTAGCCTGTAGGGTGTCTATAGCTAAATCCCAACGAGGTTGCGTGGTTACTCTTATGAAGAATTGTCCAATTTCACTCCTAAACCAAATCCAAGTATTACCTATTTGAGTACTAAGACAGATGATTTGTAAATACAATTTGTGCTCTATAATATCCTGGCCGCTTTCTTTGGGTGCACCGTTCAATATTACTTCCTTGTCGATGAGGTTGAGACGTCGTACATAAAATCGTGGTTTTTGACTTTCGTTGAAATGTACAGGAACAGTTGGTTCAGTATCCGTGATATAAATATTAAAGTTAGCTGAACATATGAAAGGAGATGAGATCATTATATCTACTTTATTTGGTCTATATAACGGTCCGGTTACCTTGCACTTCCTTTCAGGGTTTAATGCACTAATCTGTCCTTGAAGTATAAACACTACATAGGTATCGAATATTCGTGTTTTGTTGTAACCGTGTACAAGTAGTAAACATTCTTCTTTGTCAACAAAATTGGCAATATATTTTACACTTAAAAACATTTTCTTGCCGTTGTCAGCAGATGCAAGTTTCTCAACTGTAAAGGCATTCCTGCTGTTGTTAAGAATGATGTAGGAAAAAATCAATGATTCTTGACTAGATGGACATATTGATACGTGGCGTGTAGAGCTTTTCAATAGTGATGGATTTAGAACTACAGTTGCCTTAGGCCTAAACATTGGCAAAACGACATAAAGATGAATTGATAAAAATAACATCTGTAAAAAATTGGGGTCAAAAAAATCTTTGCTGGACAGTGGAAAGTATAATCTTAGCTGATTCATTGCTTCAATAATCAGGCAAGCGTTATTGACTATATCGCCTTCTTTATTTTCCTCAGTTACTTCACAGAACATTGAAAAGTGACGTTTTAGGAATGGGCAATTATTTAGTATAGCAGAAGCTAGAGCGACGCCATCTGATAAATCTGTGGTTATATTAGTGATTTGTTTTACTGGCTTATTGTTTCCTAGTAATGTATTGTGTTGTGATAGTATTTGTTCATTATACCATGTAACTAAATTATTTACAATATCCCTTGGTTTGGTACTGACACACACGCATTCAAAAAAACAGCTATCCATGATGAAAACTTTATAAGTTTGTAAGATAAAGTCCATCCAACTTTGTTTATTTAACCTATTAAATAAATCTGCATCCGATAAAAGTAATTTTGTTAGTGCTATATCAGGATTGCACTTCGGGGTCACGTTCTCTGCATAAACTATAAATTGCTCATAACTTAGTAAGAATGTTGGTTGTAATGCGCAGAGATTGCAGCCTCGTGACTGTAATAAAGCAAGTATGCCTTTGTAGGTCTCATGAATTTCGTACACACTCTTGAATGTGTCATCTACTGCTTGCACCCTGAAATAAACATATAATATTAATATGAGGGAAAGAACATTTAATTGACTTACTCTACAAATCAATAAACTATAATTACGAGACTTTGCGCACGTGCTTCATCAGAGGCCCTGCAATTCTTCTTACAAAATTTAAATATGAAACATTAATTCCTTTGCCAGATTTTGCTGCATTCTGTGACGTGACCGCGGACGATATGGCGTGAAAAGTATCTGGTATTACAGGGTATAGATCTCTTCTGAATCCTTGTTGGAACATCCACTTCTCCAGGAATATACAACATTTTTCCAAGTAACCATATAACTCAGTTTGGCACTCTAAGGGGTAATAAGGAAAGGGATTTTCATTTGGTGTAACCAAATGGCTTGCATGTAAGGTCAATGGACAATAAGTGACACAAAAACGAACTTCTACGTCACAACCGGCTTCACTTTCGTGTCTGAAAATAAGCATCACGTTTCCAGTACATGGAGTTTTAGAACAAATTTCCAACTCAACGTCAATAAAAGTGTGTGTTTCGTCATTACTTTCTGTAGTTCTATGATTTATAAACGTAACTGCAACATTATTTTCGTCTTTCGATTGACAAGAAAATGCATCTAAGTCGGATATTGCTTCATAGTCAATCGTTATAATTCGAGTTACTTTAGTTTCGACATAACAAGGTGGAAATATAACACGGTAAGTACTAGGTCTCATTGCGCGTGTTTCTCTTTTTCCATAAAAAGTCAAATTTGAATATGGTACGGTCATGTGTTTATCTAAAAACAGCAGAGCTGTGGTCACAAATCTGCCATTAAATTTAGGGTGGAACTTGACAGACATTTCTACGCTTTGATCTAGATCCAGTTCAAACTTTATATGACTATCATTTATAATTGACTGGCAGTCTTGTGTATGTATATCCAAGCTAAAATTAGGTACCAATTTCCCAGTTAAAATAGTAACATATAAATAATATTTGGAAATATTCTTAGCTGTAAATTCAATTATATTATTTTGATGAGGAATATAATCAAATTCAAACTTGTCCACGGAAAACGATAACCAAGGAACGGTAATCACACCGATTATACGACAGTAACTAATATCTTTGTTTATACTCTTCAATTTTATCTTCGGATTACTCTCGTAGCATCTAAAAGCAATAAATGATTATAATACTTTAACTCCTCATAATTTCTTATATTGGTGTCACAAAATGCTATAATGTTACTATATAATGTACTTACTGTTCATATTCTCCAATGTAATACTGAAGTTCAGTTGACCTAACCTCACTTTGTTCAGGAGGTCCAAGCAAACCATTTATTTTAAAAGGAATGTACATATCGTACTCTCTCCGAAATATGTCGCATACTTTAATGAATACTGTTTTAGATTGCCCACCTTCGACTATGAACTCAAAAACTTTCTGTTTCTCGTTTCCATGAGCAATATACACATCAAATATGTTATCATCACCTGTATCAAGAACCTGAACCTCAGTTTTTACAGAACACAGATTTTGAAACGTCACTGGTACATATGTTATCATATGGCAGGGTATACGTGGCATATAAATATTCTTAGGTTGTATTATTATTCTTGGTTCGACGACAGTTCCACTGACTGACAAGACTACGTTTTCTTTATTATTTATTTTAACCAGAACATCAAAAGCAAATTCCACAACGCAAGGAATTTTTACTATGATATCGAAAGTCATTATCATTTTAGGACGAATGGTCCCACTCATGGGTTCAATTCTAAAACCTGGAATTAAGGGTTCAACTACATAAAACAAAGCAATCTCTCTTGAAGAATTTTCCAATTTAACTTTTTCGATGGTTTCCATATTCAAGGGGATTTCTTTAAAGATCACAGCCGGCTGTAAAAACTTTATAGATAATTTACGTGTTGTAATGCTTAGTTCAACTTTAGTTTCAAAGTCATTAGACACAAAATCTACTTCATGGCTCTTTGTTTTGGTGGGTTTACAAACATACATAATATCGCATATTTTACAACTTTGACCGGGTATAGATCCTGTCATGGGCATGATCTCAAACGGAATCTCTGGGTGTATATCTGTCCATTTAAAATAAGCTGTTTCATTAAATTTGTTGTATAATCGTATTGGAACTGATGTCACAAAACTATCTGTTGTAACCATGCCAAACTTCAAACTTTTTTCCATTACCATTAATGTTGGTTGCCCTACTTCGAGTGAATACATATGTTTGAGTCTGTAAGTGTTGTCTATAAGATATTCGAAAGAACCTTGAAATTTTCCCTCCTCAAAACCTAGGCAAAACATTGTTACTTTCGTTTGTTTTAAAGGATCGAGCCGGAATATAGTACTAAATAATTTACTTTCAGTGTATACAATGTTATCGATAGGGCACAATTGAATATTTATTTTAAACTTTGTTCCGTTTCTTATAGTGAGTACTTCTTTGCCATAAGTTGATATACCAACTTTTCCAAAATCTACTAAAAAAGGGGATAATTCGATGTCAAACAGATCATATGCTGAAGCTGTTGGTTCTACGACTTTACAAAAATTACCATCTGGTTTCATCGGTGGCAAGTGATCTATATAACATTTATCTCTTCCAGTAGCGAATTTTTCTTTCAAGGCTTTCTTCATTGGTGAAAACCTAGTTTGCTTACCCACATCAAAATACTTTAAGGCGGTAGCTTTCCGTTTATTATGTATTTCTAATTCTTTATCTATATATGTATATTTAGGCAGTTGGTCATATAAAGTGTGTAACGATTCTACTTCTACTATTTTTGGCGTCTTATTATGTATTATAGTTATTTTTCCAATTATTGTATATGTTATAAAGTTATCATCTATTCCATCTGATTTAAATTGTAATTCATCATTATAAGGGTTTCTTATTTGAAAGTATAAAGTTGTTGGGATATTTAATGAGGTTGGTCTTATAGAAATCGCTAATCGTATAGATGAGTTAGGAAGTATTGTAAATTTGTACGGCACAACTTCAAAATTGCCACGTCTTTCATAGCATACTTTAGCGGCTATTACACTAGATTCATTTCGCATACGGACGTATTTTGTTACTCTATTATTAACAACTACATTGCCGAAATCGACTGGATCAGGATGGTGAGTGACTTGACAGAATTCGTATTGACCACTTATGTAAAATCGACCAATTTCTGCGTGAAGCTCATTATTGCAACATCTTGAATCATTTACTTGTATAAGGCGTAGATCAAAAACAAATCGATTGCCGAGTTGCTTATTACGCTTAGCTTTAGAAATGCATTCATTTTTTGGATGGTAAATTATTTGTATTGTGTGATCGTCTAGCTGTATTATATTAAATGCTCTATGAGACGGTGAAATTTCACGTGCTTCACTGAATTTCTGTAAACAAAGTTCAGTTTAGAATCAAATTATTATTTTCTGTTTTTTTACTTATTTTTGATATCATGATCATCATCACATCAACAGCCTTTAATAGTCCACTACTGGACATAGGCCTCTCCTTAGAAAGGAGGTTTTGGCCCACTATACCACACTGGCCAGACGGGTTTGTGTCAAGTTTTTCTTCTTTTTGCAGTGCTGGGGTCCTGCGTTGTTTTGCGCCCTTAGTCGGCTGTTTCGACACCCACGGGATGAATTGGGGTAGATACATTCCGTATTCTTAATCCGTCACTACACGGTGAATGCTATGATTATCATTTGTGATGATATGGGTAACTCACCACTTTGTAATCCTATCTTTTGTACTGCTAGCAACAGAGCCAACAAAGACAATTGTGAGCTATTTAAAAAAAAATCCCAAGAGAATAAACCATTTACTCTTGAAAAAATGAACTGTAATATTAAATCAACTTCTAGGACGAGTAATACTAATGATTTCTAGAAAATTCTAATACTAATATTTATTTTTCATTATTAACAAATCATACTTTTTGTTGACCATAGGTTTGTATAATTATACTCGAGAAAACTTACTAACAAACCACCTTCACACAATGTTTTGAGATAGGCAGATGTATTTAGATCAATTTCAACGTCGAGAATTTGTGTCGTCGACAGTTCTACAAATGATGTTGGGAAGTCCACCAGCTTAAACCTCCGAAAAACTTTGTCTGGATTGTAAAGGTCACATTCAGACATATTACATGTATATCATAAGGCTAATAAGTAGTTGAATTTAAAAGAAAATTATATAAAACTAAATTACAAAAAAAATGAGGTACACGTAACAGTAATAAATAGTTGCACTGAATTGATAATGATCTTACAGTCACAGAGTAAATAAATTATGAAAGTTATTAAACCAAAGACTCATAAATATGCGAGATATACATAGCTCATGGAAAACCTTTTTTTAAAAACAACTGGTAATATAATCTTAATATGTCTAGAAAATTCAGGCTCTAGCTGTCACATACGGTGGAAGAGGTAAATGGCTAACTCAGCCATAAATCGTCAGACCATTCAACATTTTGTAAAATATTTAATATCTATTAGCAAAATCAGTGCTATCCTTTATCTCAAATTCTCTGCATTTACTTCTTCTTGATTGTGAGGGAAATTGAATTGATTGAAAAAGAATTTCCAGTTTGCGTGGAATCGGTTTCAATTATTAGCCGCTGAATCGTGTGGAATGATACTTTTAGATAATTTTTTGTATAGCTATGTAAAATCTTTTTTCTATGTAGACTACAGACAATGCAATAAAAATATTAACTGACTATCTCATATACCGGGTGTTAGAAAGTACCGAAACAGCAGAATAATTCGCTAGGGCTGCAATTTTCGGAAACACGAAAGTTACAGGATTTTTTTCTGGTTATCCACTGGTGACCTTGACATTGAACTTGATCACAACCTTGAGGGTTATTTTAAGGGTCAAGGGCAGTTTTCAAATGGGATTTTATATTTTTGAGTCCGGTATTGAAAAGAGAGGTAACAATTACCATTATATATGACTTTTAGTGCGCAAATTTTGAACTCTAGGTCCCCAACTGAAGGTTTATAATATATATATATACAGATATAACTCACAAAACCATAGAAAATTGATTATTCTCTTCAGCCAAGAGACAAGCTACAAGATTCAGGGTTTTTCTGGCTATCCGGGCGGAGACCTTATATTATGCATTGGTAAACTCTGATCTAATTTCAAGGTTCTTTTAAGGGCATGGTCATATTTTTTAAATAGGATCCTGATTTTATTAAAAATAAAGAACCACACTAAGACGTAACCGTTTACCAATTTTTTCACCTCTAAAGGTGAGTTTGTCATTGGATTGGGTACTTCAGTAAGCAAACCTCTAAAGGTCATCAATATGGGTATGAGCTTCAGGTCATATCCGATTGTTTTTCCTCTTTTTTCAATTTCGTTTTTAAAATATGTAATTCCATTTGAAAATTGCCCTTGACCCTTGAGATAATAAGGTCTACAAGGTTAGGTCAACGGGACAAAAAACAAGGTGGGATGAGATGAATTGATTGGTAAATTTAAAATTTCATTATTTTATGCAATGATCGAAAACTAATAATGTCTTACGGTTTTGGTTTTTCTTTACCATATAATATAATGATAAAATAAAGTTCTGTATTTGATAATTTTATTTATCTCAATTTATACACATTATATAGGTATGAAATTTGACATACAAACAATGTTGAATGTCGCAAGTTTGTTATTTCATAAACAGATAATAGGCTGAGTCAACCACTAAAGTGGCTGAAGAAAAAGGACAAAGGCATAAATGAAATAATGGTGAATTATAGAACAGTTGCAAAATAAAGGAGTCGAGGCCAACGAGGTTATTGTTTAAAAGAGAACTACTAAAGTTGGTTGTCATCCTCAAACCCCGAACTCCAACCTACACCCTCCTATCATAGCAAGTGATTGTGATTGAGTGATCTGATTGTGATTAGTGATCTGGGTCTAAATCAAAGGTGGTTAGTGTTATTTTTTTAGAGCATAGTAGTAAACTGTGCATATATCTCTCCACAGGTTGCTATCATTTAAAGTGTTTTGAAATAAATAGCATTTTGAGTCAATGTTTTTCACTAGTATTAAAATCATATTAATATTTCATGTTTTCTATTCAATATAAGATAGGAAATTATTTTCTCAAGTGATGCGCACGTACATAAGTCAAAATGTACACTCATCCAGATTACGCTTAAATCTTTATTTCCTTGTGACATGCCAAGCTAATTACTTTGCCGTGTGTACCTATATAATTATTTATAACAAAGTTTACATTATTGTTGAATTTCCTTATTCCTAATAGTAACTACTTGTTGCATAAGTAATCGTCTACATTATTAAAAGTCAGCAGTTTTTCAACTGAGCACCAAACTTACCATAGAGACTGTCAGAAAGAGTCAGAGAGACTAAATGAGGAATCTTAAATTTTCTGGAATTTATGGTGTTTGCTCCAGCTTTGGAACACAGGTTGAATGGGAAAAACCAGAAAGCTTTAGAAAAGATTCGATTATAGAATCAGAAAATGATCTTTTCGAAAACTGGTGTCCACTCGTTGAACAAAAAAAATCATTCATGTTCATGGCCACCGAAAAAGAATCAAATGAGAATATTTAACCTCAACTTGGTAAGTAGTTTTAATATTTACCTTGTTTATTTTCGGGAATTAGATAGCACTGTTGCAACCGCCATGATTACGGATGAAATGAGTTACTGTAAAAATAAACATAGCAAATATTCCGTTTATAATAACTTATCAATTGAACTTCAAGTTAAGATTGATCCTCTATCTGAAATGTTACCTGAAATCCCAGAAATGGAACTACTGCTACAGCTGGCCCTGAGTCTTATTGCTATTATGTTTGATATTAATTTATGTAGGTACAATATTTAATATAATAATAGGTAATATTTTTAAGTCCAATGATGGCAACGATGCGGTTCATTCAATGCAACGGTGGTCCAAAGAAAGAAACATATCTAAAAATAATGTTATCCCTATATTGCTTTAACTGATATACTTTACCTAAAATAAATGTAGCATCGTATCTACATTAAGAAAGGATTCAACATTAGTCACAAGTTTTATTCTATCACTTTTGTTTTATAAGATACTAGCTGACCCGGCAAACGTTGTATTGCAAAAAAAAAATTAGGGATGGTTCACCCTTACCATTTAGGGGTATGAAAAATAGATGTTGGCCGATTCTCAGACCTACCCGATGTGCTCACAAAATTTCATGAGAATCGGTCAAGCCGTTTCGGAGGAGTACGGGAACGAACATTGTGACACGAGAATTTTATATCTAAGATGACACCTTAAAGTTATGTGGTCCAATCATCGCAACCTTCCCCTAATTATATAGGTATTATGGAACGCGATATTTTAAAAGTTATTATACAGTACCTAAATGTTTGTAAAAAGAGGTAAGCGTAAAAAGTATTTTATCTTTGGATTATTATTTGTTTCTTTAGTTAGGTAGTCTTTAAATAATTCTAAAATTAATTAACCAAATAAATATTATGTTTAAGTTTCAAGATGTCTTGCCTTCATGGAAACATAATGCCGGTACCGGTGAAGATCTTTGTTCAGTACATTATACAAATGTAATTTTATTGACGTCGTTATAATTTCGTTTCTTTTTCTTCACGATGTCTAGATGGCTAGAAACGAAGTGCCCTTGCGAACGGGATAACGTGCTAGAGTAATATTGTAGATGGATGTAAGTACCCGGGGTGTGTCGTACGACTCCAGCAAATTAGTTCGGGGCGGGGGAGCCGCGCTCGCCGCAGCCGCTCACCCCTCGCCTCGGGGTTTATCAGATTCAGGGGGTAAAAAATTACTTCTCAATGGGAGGCAGGAGGGCGGCGCGGCGCGAGAGTGCGGCATCGAGGGGCGGGCGTGGGCGGCGCCGCCACGTGACTCCGGCTTTTGGTTGCGTCGCGACGTCCGATGCAACCGCTCCCTGCATAACACTAGTGTTGAAGTATGCACAGGTGTTGATTTAAGTGTGGTGTTTACGCGATTCGTGCGGGATGGTTAACTATGGTTTTGAGGCTGAATGTTTGCAGTGCTTGTGCCGGACGTAGTGACTTGTAGGGGATTGATGGAAACAGGTTTCCCTGTCGTAGCGTGCGATAAGCGCCAGGACGCTTCCATGGATACCACACTCGATACCATGCATCCGCTGGATCCACCACCTCCGGATGTACTGCTGGCTCTACTCGCTAGAAACAAGGCCCTCGAAGGTAGAAGATGTGATTTGTTGGCCATTATTATATCCTAAATGTACAACTGTTGACACTCTGCATGATATTACTAAATTAAGCCGTAGTTTATCAGCTATTATGAATTTCTTATTAAATTTGTGTTAAATATTTGCACTGATGTAAGTTAGACCTTTTCTACATAGTTTTAAAGAAAAACGTTTAGAATGAGAGCCGTTTCCTACTATTTCCCATTATAGAAAAAACATGATCATAGAAAAATACCTAAAAATCCTGTAAAAAGAACTCCCTACCATGTAGGTAGGTATTACATCACATTAACGTACCTACACGATAGGAACTATTTACTGTAAGTTCCTACATACATATTAAGTCAGTTACTTTAACTGCTACCATAAAATATAGTATTATTTTTATTACATAAATAATCAATCAAGCCATTCTGCGTCTATAAAAGGCGTAACAGTAAAGCTTTTTGTTTTTACAATAGTAACAAAAATGTATAAGCTGTAATCAGGGGCGAGTTACGCGTGGATGAGTTTTGTTGAAGGACGATGCCACTCGCCAGGGCGGTTCGCGCAGTGTGTCCTCGATGCCTCGTTCCATCGTTCATATAAATTTACACGCACACGCCATAGGGTTTCAAATAATCAAGTTAAGTGCTCTTTACACATACGTACACAGGAGTGGCGATGAGCTTTTTTATTTTAACACTGGACAAGAGCTGGCATTCGGAACTATTGTTCCGATAACGCTGTGTTATTAGTAAATTGATGTAAGTCAAATTACACTTGTATTGACCTATTTTGTATTTTAAAAGTGTAACTTATTGATTTACGTAACTTGTTACACTGTGTAACGTTTATAACAATTCTACTAAAGATTGTAGCAAGTTGGCAGATCAATTTTGAAATTCGTCTGATAAAGGATGAAACGCTCGACTCTGATCTATATAAATAAATTTTAAAGGATCACTTTTAAACAACAAATCAACCATTGAAGAACATATTTAACTTGATAGGGTCTAAATCGGAGCACTCACAGAAAACAATGACTTAAACTCTGGTCGTTTGTCATCGTCGCGTAGGGTAGCTATAGATGACGTCGCCACGATAGACCTTATTGAATGATAATTATACCTACATAAAGTATTTAACTAATCTGCTTATGTCACAAGTTTTTATATGGAAGCGATTTTCTATATACTTGACAGTTGAAAATTATCAAGATAGTGAAACTCAAATCTTTGCCAAATTTATTAAGTTCAATCAATTTTGCAATTCGTTAAGTATATATAATATATATAATACTCTACCACATTCTCACAACGCCATCTAGTCCCAAACTAAGCAGAGCTTGTACTATGGGTACTAGACAACTGATATAAATACATATATACTTTTTTTTTGTAAATACATACATATTGTACATAAAAACACCTAGACCAAATCAAACATTAAATGTTCATGCACACAAATGTTTGCCTTGAGCGGGAATCGAACCCGCGACCTTTGGAATAGCAGTCCGTTACACAAACCACTACGCCATCAGGTGGTGTCAAAAACAATGCACTAAGATTTTGAAAATAGGAGATATTCCAAGATATACTTTGTCCAGGAAGTTATAGATAAAACGTATATAACTGCTAGCTGCTGCTGCTACCTAAAATTTAGCCTTACTTATGAGTGCCAGCACAAACTAACTAGTAAAACAGGCTGGCAGACTAAGCACGTAGCAGTATTACAAAAACGACATAGAAACGTAATCGATGCTACAAAAAAAACAAAAATGTGACATTTTTGTTTTTTTTTGTTACGTTTGTGCCTTTTACTACTCCACTGATCTTGATAAAATTGTATATACAAATTGTTGGGAGTATAAACAAGGATATAGGGTATCTCTGGGACGAAAACATTTTTGTTCCTGTGGATGTATGAGATTAATTAATTTTACTCTCCAAAACGTTGTCTAACGGTAGTAGATAAAAAAAAACCATAATATTAATAATTTACAAATAAAAAATACCTACTAATCGAGTAACAATTTGTCTACACTTCTGTTATTCATTGAATAACATAATTACATGTGCAGGGGGTAACCAAAATCCGCGGCCGACGGCAGCCGGCGGCTGTTCTTTGTATCATTATTATAACTTCACTAATCTCTCGTAAATCTAAATATTACATTGGTATTACGACAAAAGAAATGAAGGACGGAAATATTATAGCGTGGGAATTAGAGGATTTTTTAAACTATTACGGTATTAATACTTAAACTTCAGTAGTTTTAATCAGATCTTTGAATTTGTGGTAATTGACTATGTCGCTGTTAATATTTCTTATTTATCTTTTTATATACCATCACCATGATACTAATACCTTCGAAAAGTGTAGGTATACACTCATGTGAGTGAACTCAATTAAATGCATGCTAAACGACAATACTAGCATTTCCCGTCCCATGTGCCCTATAATATTTTTGTATCGGTTATATTATTTTGAGAAATAAAATACTACAGGAATATTTCAAAATAAAATATTTAAGTACAGATTTTGTTTTTATAACTGTAAGTTCGGTCTGTAATGTTGAACATAAATGAAACTGAAATACAGAATCAAAGGCTTTTAACACTACTGATGTATTTGGTTATAAATCAGAAGCCCTCCATTAGAACTAAATGTTACCCTGAGAATACAATATTTATGAAAGGCACTAATAAAATCATTTATTTATATTCATTTGCTTATCATAAAGTCTCCTTTGCAGTTCAGTCTTTTGTATCCTGCTTTTTGATTTTATGAATCGTCACTTTAAAAGTCAGTTAAAAAGTGTGAGAAAATATGGTGGTAAATATTTACACAGTATTTAGAGTGAATGAGGGTGGTTGTGGAGATGTCTCCTATTATATTATCGTATTAAAAGCGGAAATGTGTCGCGTGGCGGTGTGTGCGCGGCGAATCACCTCTTTCCGGTCGACACTGCGCTCTTTATTCTGTGGGATACTTCTAGTAATGTGTTACCTGCAATCATTATACTATAATGTCTCATTCAAGTTTTCTATTAACATGAATAAGTTCCCATCTGTGGTCTTGTACATTTGATTGCACACTTTGGTTATGTTTTTTTATGACCAAGAAATAAACCTAAAAACTTTTAGGATTTTAATTCATAAAAAAGTGTACCACCGGGGTTTTCGATAGCATTGTGACGGAATGGAACCGATGAAAACCTTTTTTCCTTCTTTCTTATTGGAGAAGGTAACCTTATTATTCATCAAGATTAATATAGTAGATTTATCTATAATATGTTTATATTAAGTATGTTTATAGTCTGGTTATCATAGGCGAGGCTCTGCTTAGTTTAGAATCAGACTGCCGTGAGTAAGATATGTGAAGGTATTGTTAAAACTTGTAGCTCCTAAAATCACCGACTTAAAGTCCAAATCAAGGCCGTTAACCCTAAAAGTTACACTGTGACATAAAACATTAAAAAATTTGTTAGGTTTATTTTGTTATGTAAACATTGTACTAGCTATGTTTTAACACTACGTTATAGGGCGTCTCTTGCCGTCTATCTGGCACTGCTCCAGATCCCCTGCCCCTATTGAATACATATTTATAGAAAAAACATAATTTACACAAACTGGAAACAGGGTCCCATGTTTGCATAAATAACCAAAAATCCAAAGAGTTGGAAAATAAAAAATAATCAAAAATATTACAAATGAATATAAAATCGTTGTTTAACATGTGGAGGAACGGGTGTCATGTCCCTCCCAACACAAAGGGAGGATCCTCCGACCAGGCGAGGTGATCATGCCTGGCGGGCCGCGGCCCAACGGTTGAAGTTGGGAAGTTGTATATATGCTAATCGGCGAGGGAATTCTTTATATCGCGATACAGGATTAGCAATTCTTATTTTTGTAGTTACTCCGTAGTTCGGTGTGTCTTCATTAGATGGCGCTGTAGTATGTTTATGTGTCGAGTCGCCACATCACTCCCCTCCAAGACCGGAGGTCGATATATCATGAGTCAGCTGTCTATGCCCTGTTGTGGAGCGTGCCAGTGCCAGTAGTGAGTAGTTCCAGTGAGTCGGAACTGAGTGCCGCTAGTTCCAGTGGGTCGGAACTGAGTGCCGCTAGTTCCAGTGAGTCGGAACTGAGTGCCGCTAGCCCCAGTGAGTCGGGGCTGAAGTCCGCTGATCCCAGTGAGTCGGGATGGCGTGCGGTGCGCGGTGCTGCGGTGAAGTCCCCAGTGAGTCGGGGCGGTTGCTGCGTAGTGGCTGGCTACTGCGTAGACGGGAGAGAAAATGCTCTTCTTACGTGGACCGTAGGTGCAGTGTGCTGTGCCTAGACGCTGATGAGGCCGTAGAGGTAACCAGACTGGAGCGGTTGCTACCTGCGTGTGGTATCCCTGTAGAGGCCGAGGTTGCTGGCTGGCTGAGACTTGATTACTGCTCATCGCTGTGGGAGTGTACACGATGGTGCTGCTGATGATCTGCTCCTTTTGAAGGCTGCTTCCAATCACGTCGGGGTCACCACTGTGGAGGAACGGGTGTCATGTCCCTCCCAACACAAAGGGAGGATCCTCCGACCAGGCGAGGTGATCATGCCTGGCGGGCCGCGGCCCAACGGTTGAAGTTGGGAAGTTGTATATATGCTAATCGGCGAGGGAATTCTTTATATCGCGATACAGGATTAGCAATTCTTATTTTTGTAGTTACTCCGTAGTTCGGTGTGTCTTCATTAGATGGCGCTGTAGTATGTTTATGTGTCGAGTCGCCACAAACATAACTATGTAAAATATATGTTAAGAAT